CTCTCATTCGTCTTTCTCTCTCTGCCCCCCCCTCCTCTCTCTCTCGCCCTCTCTCTTCACTCTCTTCATTCTCTCTCTCCCTTTGCCCACTTTTTCTCTCCTCCACTCTCTCTTTCTCCTCGCTCTCGTAATTTTGCATTTTAAGCTATTTTAAACTTTTTTGGCCGCCATTTTGAAAATTTGTATTTTTAATCGTACGGACTTCAAATTCAGCATTTATATATGTTTATTTTAAAACTAACATTTTGGTATAGGTGTGATCTTGAAATTCCAAAAATGTTGTCAAGGTCATTTTTTATTTTTATAATCTATAGATCTAGAGAATCTATAGATCTAGTAAATCTAAATGCAATTTGTATTTTAATGCAATTTTGTATTTTAATTTTTGAAATTTTTCTGCCGCTATTTTGAAAATTTTTGTTTTTAGTCGTATGGACTTCATATTTGGTATTTATATATATTTATTTAGGACGAACATTTTGGCACAGATGTGACTGAAATTCCAAAAATATTTTCAAATCTTATTTTAACAGTTTATAGACATAAAGAATTGTAAATAACGCAATTTTGTATATTAATTTAAAATTTTTTCATCATTTTGAAAATTTTTATTTTTATTCATGATCTATGGACCTACATAAGTGACCTACACGTTAAAGTATACTCACGGAACAAAAACCTCCAGTAAATGTCCATTAGAAGTCCACCATGGAGGTTTATAACCTTCTTTGGACATCCATGAAACCTCCATTAGATGTCTATTGGAGATCCATAGTTCCGCGTTTTTAACCTCTATTAGACCTCCATTAGGCCTCCATGTAGTCGTCTCATAGAGGTTATGTGGATCAGTTATGAATATTTTATACGATTTTGAGAAAGATTAATAAACACACATTGGAGGCTTTATGAGAAAATTATTAACAGTTATTAACAATATTAAATATATCAATTATTTTTTATATTACAATTTTATATTACAATTTTTATATTATAATTAAATACTAAATAAAAGTTAATTAATGTTATAAACTAATCAGAAAAAGTTAAGGTAAATAAAATGAATTATATAATACTGAACAAAAATATTTCTACGAAGGCATGAAATCGCCC